AGTTATACCAATAATACCAAATAAGGACTTATCCTTACCTAGCTATAGAACTATAATTCGCTAGTTAAGATTCCTTTTAAGTTAGAAAACGGTCTCCTGTACTATCTAGAATAACGCGGGAAGCGTCGGCTTTATATCCTATTCTCCCTATATAAAGAGTTTATTTAGGCCGCTTACGATAAATACTACCACTTCGGCGTTAAAAAAACCTAATATAAGCTAATTAGCCGATTCGTTATTCCTAAGCTCCGTAAGGAAATTAAGACCTATATCGCTAACTATATAAAGTGCGCTATTAACTAGACTAATCGTTAGCGCCTACTTGGTAAGATATAACTAATTATAACTCCCCCTATTCCGTTCTACACTATCGTTATAGATTTTATTATCGGCTTACCCGAGGTATCCTTAGCTAGCTCTCCTTAGTAAAAGGAGGGCCTTCCCCTATTTAACTCCCTCCTTATAATAACGGATAAATTTACGAAAGGCACCCTCCTTATTCTGGGGCATAGCTCCTATACTATAGAGGACTCGGCTTACGTCCTCTATTAATTCCTCTAACTCGGTAACTAGGGTAGCCCCCGAGGGATTATTTTAGATTATAACACTAAGTTTTTATCCGCCTTTTAGATAGCGTTTTAAAAGGTGGCGGGTATATTACTTAGGTTCTCGATAGTATAATACCCGTAGACTAATAGACTATCTAAATAGAAGAATCAGATAATCGGAATTACTATCCGTATATTCCTCGCTATATATCTAAACGCACTATAGATAAAGGGTATTATCGCGTTATAGCTTAATCTAAATAACGCATTTAGCGAAGTCTTAGGCTATTTACTAAATAAACTACTATATAGCATGCGGATAAATAGTCCCCTTAGTATAATCGGTAATATAAACCCGTAATTTGCTTAAGAGCTATTCTAGGAAGACGCTAAGCTATCTATCGCCTTAGCCTAGATATATATAAAAAGGCTATATAATAACAAGCATTATAGTATTCGGTTTACTCCTGGGGACTTTATCTTTATTAAGCTCGGGTATAGCTATTTACTACTTAGTAAACCCTTAATAAAGCTCGGTTAGTAACGAATAGGACTATTTAAGGTTAAGGAATAAGTCTTGCTATTAGTATACCTATTAGACCTACCCGCCACGCTTAATATCTATCCCGTTATTAGTATTACGTATCTATAACCGGCGAAGGAACTGGGTATAGACTTATTCCCCGGCTGAATAGCCTATAAAGGGCCTATTTATCCTAATAACCCCGATAAGAATAAGCACGAGTAGCACGATTTATATAAGTATCATAAAATTAACGCTATCCTTAATAAAAGAGTCACTAAGAAAGGTCGTGGTAAGCCGCGCACCGAGTACCTAATTTAATACAAAGAATAGCTAAGTTAGTATAACGTTTAGATACTAAAGGAAGCTATAGACGTACCGAAAATAGTTAAAGCCTTTAAGGAACAATAAAGAGCCTTAAAGACACTACGAGTAGCGATAAAGGGAGTAAAGGCGAATAAAGCGCTTAAGCTAGGAGACGTCGAAGGACTTAGAGTATTAAAGAACACTTAAGGCAAAGAGCCTTTAACGACCGCTAATATAGCCGCGTAGCCGCGTAACTTACTAAAATCACCGCTTGAATCACCTATAGTAACCGAATACTATTCATATATAGCGAGGAAAGTATAAGGGAAAGCATAAACGCTATCGTCTTATATTTAAAGGGAAGGTATACGTACCTAAAATAACACAGAATAATAAACAACTCTACGCCGCTCCGCTAAATTAGCTATACCCCTAGCACGGCTATAAAGTTTTCCTACTAGGCATAACCTCTCCTATATTCTCCTACTCTTCACCACTATAATAAGCTTCGTAAGTATTATAATCTCTAGTCCTACCTAATATATTCACTATTATAACTTATATAAGGATATAAGCTACCTCCCCTAGTTATTATTTCGTTATATTAAATATATACACCTCCTTATATATTCTTGTTCTCTATTATATTTATAGCCCGGTAATTTATAGTAGAATACCTATTAGCCGTTAACCGCTTAAAGGATATTATATTCGAGTACTATTTTTCTAAATACTTTTAGCGGGGCAGGACCGGCGAGGGTCTACTATTTAAGGGTTACGTCTGTACTATCACACTATTCGGAGATAAGAGTCTCCTTATTACTAAGCTTTTAATATCCGGGGCCGTATTCCGAGTCTACTATAGGGATAATAAAGAAATTATTATAGACTACCGTAGCCGCGCTACCTTATTAGAGTATAATAACCCTATTATTTATACCCTATATCGAATAGTATTTACCCCTACTAATAAAGCGAACTATATAGTTAGTATAGATAACGCTAAGGCATTTATACTCGTTTACCCGTAGCCCTAATTTCTACTAGATTATAATCTAGACGTGTAAAGCTAGTCTAGGCCCTCCGAGATATTTAAGTAATACCTCGCTAGTATACCCCGATATAACGCGCCCTAGGGACCGGATAGCCGCTTCCTTCCCGATCCACTATCTGTATCACGCCCTAATAACCCCGTTACCCCGTAGAACCAACGTATTATTAGCGCCCCCCTTAGCTTCCCTATTCGTTCGGGCGTAAGCGCCCCGAATATAAACACGCCTATTATACCTACCGCTATCCCTATAATAGATAAGTTAGTACTAGCCCGTATTCTATAAGAGGTAAATACGCTAGCTACTTAGCTTTTAGCCTAGCGGGCGCTATAAAGGCCCGTTATACGGGTTAGGTAGATAAGGCTATATTTCTTATATAGACGAGTAACTACGATAGCCTAATTAAGACGCGCCTAATATCGGTTACGTAGTATCTCTAAGCCTCCGCGTAGAAGGTAACCTCTAGTATCTAATAAGCCGCCGATATACTCGCTTAACTATATATCGGAAATATAACCCTAGCCTTAAACGCGTCCACTATTACCGCCCCGCCCCTTACTACGCCCGTAGGCCCCTTAAGCACCCCGTCCGCCGGCACTAAACACGCGTACTAAGGGTATACCGCCCTACTATTACCTAAGGGCTTCCTAGCACGCCCGGGTAAGGAATTAGTTTAGATAATAGGATATAAGCACCTTACTAAAAGTCTATTTACCTTAGGCGCCGCGTGTATATCCGAAGAGTTTGTATATAATAAATAGAGGTTAGCCACGTTTATATAGCGCGGTTAGGGTATAGTTTTACTAATCCCGGTCGCCGGGTAAGTGAAAAAAATCGTCGCCGCTTAAATTGTACCTAGTAAGACCTAGAACGCTATCGGCCTACTATTCCTTCTCGGCGTTTAGCGTATAGAGGACTATACGTAGATTACTAGACTTAACCCTAATAGTATTATCGACACCGATAAACGCGCTATTATAGCCGACTATTTTACCACGTACTAGACGCGTGCGTAGGACTTAATAATCTATATAAGCGTCCTCGCCTAGTATTACGACTAGCCGGGTAATAAGGGGCTTATTTCCTTATGCGATATCGACCACGATAAGATTAACAGGCGCGCGGTAAAGCTAGGCTCTAGCGATATTAAGAATATCCTTAAATACGATAAGGAGAACTAAGGCTTCCTAGACGATAATAAGGAGTTACCGTAAAAAAAGAGGTTTAAGGCCCCGGTATTCCAGGATAATATACGAGGGAGTTTATTTAGTTCTCGCGGTTTATATTTAGCGTTTAGTATATAAGCGTATAAAACGATAAAGCGTATATATAGTAAAGGAGAATAAGTGTATAGTTAGTATAATAGGTTCTAGTATTTAGGTTAGATTACTTATATCTTAGTTAGTATAGTTAGCGTTTAGCCTATAATAGAATAGGTATATATAGAGGAAAAGATAGTATATATATACACTATCGTAAAAAGAGACTTAGATAGTTATTTTTATTATTTTTATTTTTCTCTCTCTCTCCTCCGTCGTTTATTTTAGTCTCCTTTAGCGTTTACGGTCGTGTAAGGCGTGATAGTATTATATAGCCACGAATATAGCGCGAAGAGTTAGTAGATAGCGTAGCTAGCGTATAATATATTCTATCCCCTATTCCCTTTTATTATAAACGCCGTCTATTCATATAGGTCGTAAATAACGATTACTCTGTGTAGCACGCCTAACACGCTAGCCGCGTATATATCGTATACCTTATCGCCTAACGGCTCCCTAGGACGCCTATAGGACACAGGACTCTTTTCGCCCGGGGTATATAAAATACCGGAATAGCGTAGGACTATACGCACGAATAATCCTCGCGCGCCAGGCACTATACGCACGTATAATACCCGCTAGCCGGAACCCAAACGTATATTTAGGGCCTAGACCGGGTTCCCTAAATATACGTATAGCCCTGAAGACTAAGAATAAACCGGTCGTATAAAGAAATAGATAGTCCGGGGCTCGCCGAGGATATATTCCCGGTAAGCCCGCCTTTAGATTAGTAGAAGATATCTTTATTATACCCTATTTTCTATACCTAAAAGTCGCTATTCCGAACCCTAAAAGCCTTAGGTCCGATAGTATTAGCTAGCCAGATATATACCTAGACAGGGCATATCAGTAGCCCTTACTAAGGACCGGAGGTCGCCGGCTATATATAGTATGTCCCTATAATTATACGTAATAACCTCCTTAATATAACCTATTATAAGAGTAAGGTCTAATACCCTATAACACGTAATACCGTCTATCGCGTTTTCTAGTTCCTCTATAACGCCGGCGTTATAGCGCCTCTATAATAGTATCCCGGGCGGGAGGCGGGAGTTATAATCGTTATCTTAGTAGTTTATCGATTTCACTTATATTGCGCGCTACTTGATCCTTGGACTATTTTTTGGTGGAAGAGGTGTATATATACATGGGTATGATATCTATGCAGCTTAGCAGTGGAGTCATGGCCCCACTGAAATATCACGTTTAAGGTTTCGATATTGAAACGTGAGGTCTGTCTCCGCATTGATTCCCAAAGACTACGGTCTGTTCAACACCGTCTACGAGACTAGCTCCGGTCAACAAAGCTAGGTCGCACAATAACAGCTATATCGACAGTATTCTTCTTTCACATGAGACTTCATAATCTTCTCCTAGTCAGCCTGAAGATCAGCGTTCACACATGATGCAGAGCGAAATGGATTATGATGTAGGCATGACTGATGCACCGGATAGCAGCTCGCTTCACATGCTTTCCGCCGCTGACAGGGTTCGTGACTTGCGTTTTCCACATCTTCTCAGATTCCTTGTCTCTAGTTTACTAACTAACCATTCTGTCCAGGCCGCCATCGGACAAGCACCTCCATTGGAGGATCAAGAATGTGATCAAGACGCGGTTCCTGCCTCAAACAAAATTCATATACGCGGTGTCGACACTCTATCTTCCGACGACGTCATAACGTTCGTGAAAGAACACTGCGGCCCAGTGTCCAGGATTGAATGGATCGACGATTCAAGCGCCAATCTCGTGTTTCCATCCAAGCACGAGGCGCGAGATGCGTTTCTGTCTTTGAGTGAGGCTTCGCCTGACATGGAGAAACTAGCTGCCTTCGAGACCATTCCGGCGAAGGCCATGTCCTCCAAGCCCAACGTTCAAATACACATCCGTTTCGCGCTTACAAGCGATAAAAAGAGGCCAGGAGCCTCTGCCCGAAGCCGCTATTACCTGTTCCATCCAGACCAAGACCACGCAGGGAGGATCAGGCGCGATAGGATAAAATACCGTGACCGTGGAAGTGGAAACTCCCATCGGAGAAACGTCAAGAGGACTCCCTCGAGACATGTGGAGGATATCGAAACATTCAATTCCGATCTTTATGATGACAAAGAAACACACGCCTATGGTGCAGGCCGGAACCAAAACGGAGGGAGGCCACAGGAATATGACTTCGATATCAGACCAGGCCGCGCTGATTCGTGTCGAAATGAGGACAGGGAATTATTCCCGAATCGCCAGTCTTTCAGACTTTCACAACCGGGACGAAACAGATCGGCATCACCTCAGCAGTCACGAACAAGAAATGCAAAGATGGCGGACGTGAGGGATAGGAACATGAGGACTGTCGGTAGAGCCATTGCTTCTGTGCCGAGCCAGCAGTTGGTGAAGAGCAACGCTTCAAAGGAACTCTTCCCGGCCAAAGTCACCTCCAGCGGAGGAAAAGCCACGGATAAGCCGGATATGGCAGCCCACACGAGACTCTCGCAACGGACAATTTCATTAGGTGGTGAGAGTGGGGTTGGCAACTCAACGACAACCGCAGAGTCCGTAAGGATACGAGGTATGGCAAATCAGGAGGCGGACAATTTCGAGTTCGCGATAAAGGGCGTCGCAGGCAAAAAGGTCACGGAGCTGTTTCCCGAGAAGCTCAGAGCAAACAACGGCGGTAGGAAACGATACGCTAATAAACACGAAAACATGGATTGTTCCAAACGGAACACCGACGACATGTTTTCGTCGGAAATGTCTCGCGATTAGTGTAAACTAGCAACTCCCCACTTTATAGCACGGAACAATTGGACAAGTGTCACGAAACATAGGATAACCCAATGCAAGCCAAAGACTGAATGGCAGTGGTCGATAACAAGAATACCGAAAATTCAAGGGACTCGCCGGGGTGCCTGGACGTCCTAGTCGAAGGCCTATGGCTAGTCGGTCTATAATATAGCGAATGACATCTTGACATATACACTCTGTTGAATAGACGGTAGTTTTTACGGTTATATAAGGCCTCGTTCGATAATTTTACCTAGTTAGTGAAATCTCGCCACCATTTTTGTGAAAGTAAGAACGCCGCTAAGACGCTATTTTGACGCTGTCGCTTAGCCTCGATGTATCTTTTTATGCAGAAATAAGGGAGGCATATCGGGGAAATATTAAGCCGATCCGCGATACCGGGTCGGGTTTTTCGTATATAAAAAGACACCACTTTTTACTAGTATAGAATATCGTGAAGACTACTACGTATATCGATATCGCGGCCCTAGGTTTTATTAGTATAGAGGATATTATAGAAGCGTTACTTAGTAATATACCTAATAGTTCTCTTATATAGTGATAGTATCGTTATTTAAGCGGCGATACTATCGTTAGCCTTATTACAACTATAGCAGCGCGCGTGGCTAGGTAAACCCTATTTTAGTAAAAAAAGTCACTTAGTTAGTAGCGTGTTTTGCTTTACAAAGCTCTCCTATACGAAATCCCACTAACTTAGTGAAATCTACGAGCTAATAGGCCCCTGCTTAGCGTGGTATCTGCATAATAGGGGGATAATAGAGGAATGCATAAAAAATGCAGTTACACTGAAAATATGAATAGGGCCTAATAGGCACGGATTTCCTCGAGCACCTTAACCTCGGTAATTAAGGTAGATATCTATAGAATTTTCACTACAGAAAGTATAGTAGTAGTAGTTCCCTACGAGTCCTGTAGATTATAGGATTATATATAATTATCTTAATTAATTAACTATTAAGCCCTTTAATTTTAACTCTATTCTAACTGAAGTGTATATACTCGGATAATAGTAACATCTTAATCGGACTATAGTCTGAACATTAACAGCCCGTAACAGGCCCTGCTAGCAGCGAACTAATTTTTTTTACTTTCTCTTTTCCGACCGTATAACCTTAACCCATAATAGTAAAATCCGCTCGAAAGTTAATTAGGCGTTTTCCACGCTTTTTACGTTAAATTTTATAACTATCATTAATTACCTTTCCCAGTAATTACAGGGTCTAACCTAGTTACTACCGTAGCGTCTTAATCGCCTTATCTATACTAGACCCGATCCTATAGTATTAGAACCGCCGCGGCCTATATTTAGCAGGGAATTAATGTCGCACGTTAAATACAACTTATATAATAATTATAGTAATAATTCTCATAGAGCAGAAATCTCGTATATATGTATTATATTAATTTATATCTATGTAAATCTCTGATACCCTTAATTTAGGTTGTGTAGACTCTTATTATAGATACTATATTATTTGGATCCTATCCGGTCATTCCTGATATCCACCCTTATTATATCCTAATCCCCGATATCGAGAGCCCTTAGTCAGGCATAGTCTATACCTATATAACATAACCCCTTAGTTAAGGTGGGTCCTTCTAGTTTAACTAACTAATTAGAGGCTTTGGTTTTAACTAAAAACTCGTAACCTTTTCTATTATAAAAATAATAGTCAGTGGAAAAACGCTCTGATAAAAGAGATCTATATGTATCGGATCTACCACGCCTCCGGGGGCTATTATCGTCGCTACTATAGCCATGGCTTTAGCGGGCTTAATCTCTTTATCTAAGTATTTCAACTACTCGATACTAGCCTTTTAATCTGTTAAATTAAGCTGTTATTATAGTCGTTTAGTCCCCGCCTCCGATAATACATTAATTAATCCATCTACGATTATATCCTTCGTGTTAATGCATATAACCTCAAAGAGTCCTTGCTATACTAACTAACACGCCTACAAGTCATTATTATTATTATTATTATTATTATTATTATTATTATTATTATTATTATTATTATTATTATTATTATTATTATTATTATTATTATTATTATTAT